ATAGATGCTGGGCAAGAGCAAAGCGACGTTACTTCGTCTGAGCCGCAGACTAAAAGCGACAGAAAAGCCCTCGAATTTCTTGATGCACCATCCGATCTCGTCCCCGGAGTTTACGAGGGAGGACTGAAAACATGGGAATGCAGTCTGGATCTTGTCGATTATATGGACGGTTTGAAAGATACATCAGAATTCCAGAGCTTTTCAGGCAAGAGGATCCTTGAGGTATGTTTTCATATGTTCAGTCAATGGGTATGGTTTAGCTCAAGCTCATCGTCAGCTTGGTTGTGGCACGGGCATACCGTCGATATATATCTTGCGCGAGATATTTGATTCCTCTGCACCAAATCATGATCCGTCTGGAAATTTACCTCCGAAGACCGAGATACATTTGCAGGATTATAACGATTCAGTCCTCCAACTTGTCACGCTTCCCAATATCCTTTTGACATGGTGTAAGTCCTTCTCAGTTATAAATTCTATGGCCCCACTTATCATTTCACAGACACTTCCATCCACGCTGATCCTTACCGGTATACAATGAACGACTCCGAACTCGCACCAACCATCGATGCCAGCACCCCAGGCGAACTCCCAATCACTCCAGAACTCAAAGCCGCTTTTTTGTCTTCACTGCAGTCTCTCAACATAACGCTCCGCTTCTTCTCTGGATCATGGAACACTTTCGATCCCATCCACACCATCGGCCCGGCTGGGTACAACACCCTCCTCACATCAGAAACGATATACCGCACCGACAGTCTCGACCCTCTACTCAACCTCATGCAAGCCGCATGCACCGGAAAGCCAGCAGCGACGCTAGAGCACCTCGTCTCGTCTCTCAAGGTGGTAGAAGAGCCTGACTCGGCGGAAGGGCCCCGTCCGGACTACATGTGTCTCGTTGCAGCGAAAGTGCTGTATTTCGGGGTGGGAGGCGGAGTCTCAGACTTCCTCAAGGCAGTGGAAAGTAGGAAAGGCCGCGTCGATACGGTCCTGGAGCGAAAAGCTGGCGTTGGAAGAAAAGTTATGCATGTCCGTTGGTCATGATGCATGTCTATCATGGTGCAATTGAAAAGTTTTGGCAGGTTCGTAACGCGATGTAGCCTTATCTCCCAGACAATAGGTCATATCTTCGCCCCTATTATTTCCAGCTCTCTAATGAATATAAAACTATGGCACATCGACAAGATTTTCGGTAGAAATTGAGTAGAAATCTCCTTTGCTGATGGTGCGTTTTTGTCTTTGTTTGGCTCAGGATGGGAGCTTGGTAATCTAAATCTTGCCTTCCTTGTTCCTGCCTTCCACTTTGCTTGCTAAGGACGTTGAAGTATTCGCTCCTTCACAGAATCTAGAAATATAAATTCTTGGGAGTTCCACAAGACAAAGGGGCTGAGTTACTTTATACTGTGAGCCCCAAGTCGTCCAAGTCTACTACTTCGTCAATCTCATATGCATGACTCTGACCTGAAGTTCCGGCAGATTTTACAGGCTGTGTTGAGCTACGTGGTCGGCTACCAGTACATGTATATTCTGTGAGTATGGCATATGTTGGATTCCAATTAGCGCTTCTCAGGCCTCCCTGTTTTTTTCTTCTTTCAGATAATCTCGACTCTCATGACTCCCGACTTCCTCGTCCACACATCCTTATTGTGTACCCAATCCTCAATGTGCTGGGTCCACCGCCCAATCCTTTCAAATCTTGCTCCTCCAGCAGTCGGTTTCAATATCAATCCTTGATGTTTGATGTGAGGGTGCTTGTCGTGATCAAAAACTTCGCTGAATGAGCCGATGAAGAGACAGTAAACGGTTCCACCTGCAGATGCCTCAGCTGTAGGTGTATCGTAATTGAGGTGGAGCGAGTTGAAGATGCCCTCTTTTACGGTCGTGACGTTGGCTAACCAGGAAGGCGGGGACCGAGGAGACCTCCCCACCACGACGGCACACATGGCGCCCTCGATGACGATGCGCCCACCATGGACCGTGCCATACTTATTCTGCCCCTTGATATCAACCGAAGCACTGATGATCCGAGTACGGGGGTCTTGTTTGTAGCTCGTTGTCCCTCCCCATTCCGCCAGCTTCGGCTTTGTCTCGTATTCCCAGTCTATCCCGCTGGCATCGTTGCCTCCCCACACCAGGGATGCCCATGACCAGGACGGCGCGGTCAAAGGCCCTTCTTTCAAATTGAAAGGTTTCCGGCCTCTCGTAGGTCCTGCCGTCTGCTTGCTGCCTCCAGACTCCCATAAGAGGTCGCGGGCCAGATCGCCTTCCCATAAACCAGCAAGGTACCGCTCATTCTTGGGTAAATACTCCGCAAATCTGTATGCCAGACCAGAAAGAGCTGGGAGCCGATCAGACTCGTAGGTCAGATCCAGCAAGCTAACGTCCTCGACAATCGTCCTCCAGAGCCCATGCAATGCTTTCTTGTCATTCAGAACGCCCAGCTTCGCGATTCGGTCCTTGGTCGCGCTCCAGCCATCGCCATCGGGTGGACTTCCATCCAGTTCTTTGCATTCGCATCGCTGTGTAACGTTGCACGCCCAGACCATCTCGTTGGCGTGCAGATGGACCGAGCGTGCTGCGAGGGAGCGTTCCTGATACACCCATGCGCGGGGCAGCAGCGGTGCCGTGTCCATATGCATACGGATCCATCGAGGCGTTTGCAAAGCCTCGTGGGACGACTTCATTGTAAGCCGGATGCGTATATCCTGCTGCATTCCTGGTACCTTGAACGACTTGACTTCGCATTTCCTCGTCCTGGACACCCGCTCTCTCTTCCCTTCCCCGTCGTCTACCGCTCTGGAAAATTCTTCGGCCCATCGAAGCGAATCCCTTGTGGTCCATCTGGGCCCCAAACACCCCGCATGTCCGCCTGCCGCCCGCGTTGTCGCGATATTCAGATAACAGTGTGCATATATATCCGCCATGACAGCGCTCTGTTGCTCCCAATCCGCAGCCGCTATGACATCTGGCTCCGAAGGCGAAACTTTCTGTATGATGCACAGTGAATCGATCCAAATATATCGCAATCCTAAGCCCCGTGTGATTGCCACAGCGTCTTGAAAAGTCTTCGGCATCCGCTCAATTGGAATACCACGATGCATATGCTCGGCAATCGTCAGTCGTGTCGTGGTCAGCAGCTGCTCCGTTCCCCAGCAGTGGCTCAGCGCAACGTAGTGGCCGCGTTGCCCTTGGGTTGTCTCGATAAGCCGGATCTGCCCACCAGACAAGTCCAGGACGCGCCGTGGCAAAAGCTCTCCCTGATGGTCTGCACTGCGGCACAACGCATGGTTTTTGTCACAGTCCTGTAACCACGGTTTGATGATTGCTGCACACTCTTCCCCGCTGGGCTTTGTAGGAACTTCACCGGCCGCCCCGATAGCCTTCCACGGTGCTGGGGCCGCTGTTCATCCAACCTATCAGCGCAAAATCAATTCGAGAACATGGGACGAACTCACCACCTGGTGGCGTGTAGATCTCGAGCTCGAACTCCTCCTGGAATCCGCTGTCATTACTGCCCCTCTTCTCTGCGCTGCACCTCATCTCAACCTTCAAACTCTTCGAGGCCTCGCTGTTTCTTGCCGCCTCTCTTCTCTTTTTCCTCGCGACGGCATCCTCGGCATCACCATCGTCTCTATCCAATATCGCGATTGAATATCTTATCTCTCTTCCCGGAGGAATGTCCATAACTTCGCCGGAATTGACCAGGGTGTCAAAGGCTGATTTCAGAAAGCGGCAGGATGCGCAAGACGGATCCTTGGCCAGATCGGCGTACGTGATCCAGTGCCGTGCGATCTGACCCATCGAGCAGCTGTCCTCATCTTTGTGGGGCTGCGGGATATATCGTAGATCGAGGTCGAAACAGGTAGCGCAGTTGGCCCTGGAACGGTGACCTCGAGAGGCAGGAACCGCTTCGGGGGTATTGTCAAGGGGAGGACCGACATAGACAGGAGGTTTCCAAGGCCCACGCTTTGGCATGATGATTGCAGTGAAGACGCAGTGATCAGTCCTCAATTCTGGGGGACCGTTGTGGCTGCGTTCACAGTTTTTATCCGTCAATACTAGCGCCCAGGTGCACTGATAAATCACAGCGCGTCGATAATAATACCTCTCATTCGGGGGTTCAACGACTCCGTGGTCAGACCAGCCAGTCAGAAAGTGCCGCGTACGTCCGTTCTAATACAAATTTTTCACAGCGCTAAAGCCAATATATGTCTAATCTATCTATTGACAGTATACCAATCATTTCCGATGTCAAGACTTTTATAAATGTCAAATAGTCAATTTAAAACCAAACATCTTATCAAAGAATGCTTGAAAAGGCGAGGCGAGTCGGACGGACCATGAATTTTTCTTCGATTCTTGTGCGTACTTCTTTTAGCTAGTTTATTTATAAATTGCCACAGATATTGATATGTCCATCTTATGGGCCAGAGAGTCCACACGTTAGATGCGCGAGGCCGAGATATCGATGAAATGGATTATCAACGGTGTGGAAGCGATTGACACCTAGTACTACTAGTCCTAGGAATGAAGTACCTCCTGCAGACATGCACACCGATTTTGATTTCTGTCATATCGTTGATGGTGTACGTCCTGCAAGAAAACCAGTTAACTGTCAGTCTCCCTACCTCGTTTACGGTGAGTAAGTACTACTTTTTCAAATTCGTCTTTTGGTAATCTCAAAGGCGATTACATTCAAATTACTTTGTTTGTCAGGTGTGGAGCGCAAAGGCCGACAGCGTATCTAGGAGTTAATTCCCTCGTGGATCGTCCAAATCCTCCCGATAAGCAATTTCAATGGTTTTCTTTCCCTATAGCGATGAAACCATCCGAACTGCAATCGCACTTTCGGAAGACTGCATTACTCATAAGGCCTGCTCTTTTACCTTACCATCAACACCTTTTCTCACATGATCATTACTGCAGAGACGAATAGCAATAGCAAAATGCCGAAACAGAACATGGCACAGGCGCCTTCCTCCCGTACGGATGCAAAACTATGGACACATTGGGAATTGAACCCAACACCTCTCGCAGACCAGAACTAATGCTAAGCGAGCGTGATAACCAACTACACCATGTGCCCGCATAAAAGTTATTCCCCCCGTAACAGGATATTTTTCCAGTGCTGTATCAACTTTTCGCGGGTGGTTATTAACATGGTTCAACTGGCCGAAATTTCGGTTCTCCTTCCAGTTGCTCTAAAAAATGGTGATGAAAAATGCCAGATAATCGTTATCTGATAAGATCCTATCTGCATGAGTTTGATTCTTTCCATCATCAGCTTTTTCCACACTTGCACCCCCTGATCCGACTTCCACCACCAGTTCGGTCTTATGAATATGGAAACAGGTCAAACCTATCCCACACCATAGGGCTCATGGGACTTAACTTAGTACTTACCATCTCTTTCCCGCTTATGACTTCCCATCCCTGGCTTATAAAGCTTGTCTACATTTATTGCTTCCTGAACCCTCCTAATCCCCTACGTTATCGAATAATTACCAGACTATGGCTCCCTTGACGAAGCTCTACATTGATGGCAAATTCGTGCCTTCCAGCACCGGAGAAACCTTTGAAGTTCGCAATCCTCACTCAGGACAAGTCGTTGGCATATCTTCTTCGGCGTCAAGTGCGGACTGCAAAGCTGCTGTCCATGCAGCCGCAAAGGCCTTCAAAACATGGGAGCACAGCAAGCTGAACGACCGACGTGACGTTCTTTTGCGAGCTGCAGACCTACTCGCGTCTGAGGAATATCGCGCAAAGGTCCTGGAGGCCATAACCGAGGAGACGGCTGGGGCTTCGTACTGGGGTACGTTCAATGTGATGGGGTCAATCAATTTCCTTCGCAGTCAGGCTGGCACGGTTGAGAAATTGAAGGGCGAGATCTTTCCATCTGGTACGGTGCCAGGCGCACAAGCAATTTCGCAGCGCCGAGCTATGGGTGTAATGTGTGTTCACCATATTCCGTGATCTTGTTTTATTGTTAATCTTCCTTCACTCTAGCTTCGGTATAGCTCCGTGGAACGCACCAGTTACACTTTCTATCAGGGCGGTTGCCGTCCCAATTCTGTGCGGAAACACTACCATTCTAAAGTCCTCTGAAAGCAGTCCGAGGAGTCAATCTATTGTAGCGGAACTGTTCCATGAGGCGGGGTTGCCAGCGGGTGTACTCAACTTTATTTCCATGTCGCGAGAGAGTGCGCCCGCGTTGACTGCCGAAATTATCGCGCATCCGTTGGTGCGAAGTATCAATGTACGAATGTTGTTCACTTTTGAAAGCGCAGTAATGGGCTAACCACCGCACAGTTCACAGGCAGCGATCGTGTGGGCAAGATAATCGCCATGGAAGCTGCTAAATATCTCAAACCTTGTGTCCTTGAGCTAGGCGGCAAGTCTCCTTCACTTGTCAGTGTCTTCTCTGATTCTCCCGCTTTCCAATACCAACCTCGATTGTTTGAATCTAGGTACTCAATGACGCCAATGTCGCTGAGGCCGCGAAGGGTATTGCTTTTGGAGCCATGGCTCACTCTGGCCAGGTATGGTTCGGCTATCACTCATACACTGTAGTCTTAAGTTTATTGCGACATTTCAGATATGCATGTCCACAGAACGTGTGATCGTCCAAAGAGGCATCGCAGAGCAGCTCATGTCTGAAATAAAGGAACTCTGCGGGTCCCTGAAGGTCGGCGACGTTGCCAATGACCACTCTGTGTCTCTCGGCGCCCTCTTTACCGAATCGTCGGCGGATAATATCGTAGGCATGATAAAGGAAGCTCAGGCCAGCGGTGCGGAGCTGATTCTAGGAGACACTGCCAGGCAAAGATCTTTGTTGGTACCTCATATGCTCAAAGGCGTGAAGCCGGGCATGCGGGTGTGGGATAGGGAATCTTTTGGTCCAGGTGCGATCGTATTAGCCGAAGCATATTTTGGTTTGCACAGGCCCTCTAATATAAACTTGTACAGTCATTGTCTTTGCTGTAGTAGAATCGATCGATGAAGCAGTGGACATGGCGAACGCCTCCGAGTACTCTTTGGCTGCCTCTCTTTGGACGAGCGATCTCTATGGCGCACAAAGCATAGCTTCTCGTATCCGGGCTGGTGGGTACCTTGGCGCAATCGCAAGAGAATGCTTACAAAATTGCTTGTATAGGTTGTACCAACATCAACGGCCCAACTATCCATTCCGAGCCCAGCGACGGGCTCCTAGGCCTGGGGTATGTCCATTATTATAATCACTAGTATGCTTTTCACCGAGCTATTATACCTCAGTGGATCCTCTGGTTACGGCCGCTTCCATATCGAAAACTTTACCGACAAACGTGTCATAGTTACTCATCCTTTGGGAAGGAAGTACCCACCCCCATTCTTCAGTTGAAGTTCACGATTCAGGTTTATGCTGTACATCGAACGGTAAAATAATAAAAGGAATAAACTTTGTTGGCTTATTAAGATCAAAGGCGCAAAAAGATGGACACATTGGGAATTGAACCCAACACCTCTCGCAAATGATTAAGATGCTAAGCGAGCGTGATAACCAACTACACCATGTGCCCTACTTGTCAGAAATTGGTACCTATCTATATATACTGTATGTAACAAGAATTTCCTTATAAGGTCTACTGGAGAATCTGATGGTACGAAAAACCTCGTGTTTCAGCGGGCACATGGTGTAGTTGGTTATCACGCTCGCTTAGCATCTTATATCGTTTGCGAGAGGTGTTGGGTTCAATTCCCAATGTGTCCATTTATTTTGACTCTTTCAACCCCATTTTTGATGAGCAATCCTCCCATATATCATCGCCCATCTTTCTTGCTACACAGTCAGTCAGGACTCAATGTCTTCAAGGGTTCTTTGTGCCCGACCCCGCTGAAAGTAGCCTGTTTTCATGACTATACGTCATGCCATCCCCTGTTTCTCGTTGGTGAGACCCCCGTTTGCTTTCAACTCAACTCGTCCTTCAAACCATGTCACATACGTCTCCGAGCTATGATCCCTCTTCTCCTGCGCTGCATGAAGCTGTCTCTGCATGGTTCCTCGGTCCTCAAGCCGAGAATGCCAATTTAATGAAGGAGTTATTTAGTCAAATGGTTGACAGTCACTCTCGAGCAAGGCTGATGTACCACCCTGAAGACGGTGCAAGTGATAGTTTCATGATCTCCGTCCCTTTCAACTAACACCGGGAGCTGTGTTTATAGGTGTTCATTACGAGCGAGATCAAAGAATCTCCAGCCTTCGAAGATGCTGTAAAGAATCTTCGTCAAGAGTTCACAAGGCTGTCCGACCTTCTCAATGAGAAATCCATCCCAACCTACTCTCCGAGATACGCAGGTCATATGGAGTTTGAAAGCAGTTTACCTTCAATGCTCGGTTGGCTGGCTACCATGCTTTACAATCCCAATAACGTGGCCTTTGAGACGAGCCCCATCACGACATTACTCGAGCTCGATGTCGGAATGCAGCTTTCTGAGATGCTTGGGTATTCGAGATCTGGGACAATCCCACCTTGGGGACATATTGCCTGCGATGGTACCGTCGCGAATTTGGAGTCTATATGGTACGTTCTTATTTCTCAGTTGCCAGATCTTAAGATGGTCATATCTGATTATGATTTGCATATTAGGGCGGGTGAGCTAGCGTCTACGTGCCATGCAATCGCATTAAAAGACGAGGACAGCTCGCAACCTCAAGTTTTATCCTCTCGCCCTCAAAGAAGCCATGTGTCCTCGGGCACCTCTTGGCTTTATTGCGCATGCATTCTGCGTCCACAAATGTGCCAGCCCCAATGAGTTGACACTCTTCCGTGACTTAGATGTCTGGGATCTGCTTAATCTGAGGCCGGAGGAGATCCTCTCAATACCTGACCGACTTCATACCGAATTCAGGATCTCACCTACTTTTTTAGACAAGGCCTTGCAACCCTACATTATTCAAACCGTTGGCAAGGAATTCTACGAGAAAAAGGACGAAATTGAACATCCTATTCAATACCTCCTATCGAGTACAAAACATTATTCATGGCCTAAAGGAGCAGGTACAGTAATACCGTAGACTTCTCTACTCGTCTTACCTTTCTCACCGATTCCGTAGCACTCGCCGGCATTGGATCTTGCAATGTGATAGATATCCCTGTTGGTGAAAATGCGCGCATGGATATAGCTGAGCTCAGGAATGCCGTTGAGAAGAGCTTTCAGGAGCGACAAGCCATATATGCTGTTGTTGCCATCATTGGGTCCACGGAAGAAGGCGCCGTTGACTCTCTCGACCAAATAATAGCCCTGAGGAAAGAATACCAGTCTAAAGGAATGTCTTTCTTAGTGCACGCAGGTACTTATTTTGGGGTTCCAAGCGTCCATCCTGCTCATCGGTTGTATGGAACGACAGATGCCGCCTGGGGTGGCTATTTTGCATCCATGATAACAGAAAAGCCTGTTCAGCGGACTTCTGGCAGCATACCGTCGCAGGCCGACGATCGCACGCCTCGTCGCACCTATGTTCCTTCTTTGTCACTGAAAGACCATACACGACGGCAACTTGAGGTCTTACATGAAGCGGATTCCATTACCATCGACCCTCACAAAACTGGGTATTGCCCGTTTCCTGCTGGCGCTCTAGTTAAGTCCAATTCAACTTGTTCACTCATTCTTGTTCGTCCACGCTGATGACTCATGGAATACATAGTGCTACAGAGATAGTCGCATGAGGTACATGGTGACTTGGTCTTCTCCGTATCTCAATCAAGGGCAGAACGGCGAGAGCATTGGCATATACGGCGTCGAAGGCAGGTAAGCTTCGTGAATGGATGCATTTATTTTCAGAATATAATTTAATTCATACAGCAAACCAGGCGCTGCAGCTGCCGCCGTATATTTACACCACAGGGTCGTTGGTTTACACCAGGAAGGCCATGGAAGTTTGTTGGGCGAAGCATGTCTCAGCTGCGCTAGGGTGAGCCCGCCGTCTCCCGTTATTCATGACCTTACTCTTTGCCTTCAATAGATCTCCGCGCATTGGGCAGCTATGTCCGATTCTTCTACGCCATACCTGGTCGTGCCCTTGAATAAACTTCGGGCTGAACCAGACGAAATTGGCGTCAAAGAAGAGAAGGATTTCATCCGTAAGAAAATCATCGGCAGATCAAATAACGAAATCGTCAGTGATGCAGATCCGGAAGTTCAGGCGGAATTGCGGGCGCTAGGCTCTGATCTCAACATCAACGCTCTCGCCTGCAACTTTCGGATTCGGAAAGCCGGCAGTGCGAACACTAATATCTGGGAAGTTAACGACGACGTCGAAGAGGCTAATTACCTCAACAAATGTATCTTCGACAGGCTGTCGCTAACTAATGTTGATGACAACCCTATGGACAGACCTCTCTACATCAGCTCGACTACATTCGCCCACGACGATTATGGAAAGTGTTTGACAACTTTCAAAGAGCGTCTTGGGCTGGAGACGGAGTCCCGCCAGAGCCTTTTCGTGCTGCGAAACGTTGTAATATCGCCTTTCCAGTCAGCTGCAGATTTTGCGGGCGAAATCGCTGAAATCTTCCGCCGCACGCTCGTTGAGGAAATGCAAGTAAGTTCGGGACTAAAAAATATTAACATTCGCTGAAACTTGTGTGATTTTAGCATGTCGTCGCACGAAACACCTGTACTCCGCAAGAGCATATTTTCATTATGCAAGGGACTGATAAACTCTTCTTGGTTTATACACCTCTCTTTCACAAAGCTAATGGCCGTCAGCAACTTATCATTAGTGCTGAGATGATCGAAGGCGTACATTGGTCGCGTTACGTTAAAGATAAAGACGCTCATCCAAACGAAACCTTCACATTTTCTATCCCTTCTGCGACGATAGAAGAAATTCTACAGAAGGAAACAGTGGAAGGATATGTGTACAGGAGGTGAGTTTATATATCTGAAACTCCCGCTATCTCAAGGCTCTTGACTCATCCATATTCATGCACTGCATAGAGGAACTGTTGTTTTCGAGTGTACGCTCTGCAACATACGCGTCATTAAACACCGTTCTCTCCTCTCGAAGTGGCGCGACCCCGATTATCCCGACACGTTCACTCCATTTTACCTGTATGGCACATTAGAAGAGCAGCACATCGATCACATGCTCCTGAGAGCACCCAACGCTCAACTCGCGGCGGAAAACGTTGATCTCGAACTCGACAATCCATTGTGCGAAGAAGAATTGGCAGATGGACTACTGGTTTATTTGGCCCTAAACGAGCAATCCATGCAGCCACTCCACCCCAGCTGTCCACCGCTCTTCTTTGCTCCTGATGCCGTGATGTATGTGGAGGTTTTCAGAGACCCGTTCACAGCTGTGGCGCATGGACCTGGTTTAGCGCCCAAATTTGATGACGACCCGCAAGACACGCCCTCAACCTCAGATTCCTGGCAGCCTCTTGCGAGTGGATCGATGCGCTTGCGATCCGGCTTCTTTGTGGATTACATTGATTTGAACAAGCAGGACTTCAAAGCAGATAACAGGATCACGAGCTACACGGAAAGAGAGATCAGCGAGGAAGGGAAGGCGGGCTGGAGGAACATGGTTTTCGAGCGTATGGCTATGAGTTGGGGGGTGAAAAGGTTCCAACATACCAGCAGCTTTATAAATAAACGGTTATTACATGCGTCCACGATCCATGACATTGAGGTTTGCTCAAGGGCGGGGATATGTCCACGTCCGACCATGGTGGTAAAACTGGAGGAGAACAACCCTCGGATCATTCGGAGTAAAAATTTCAGCCATGGCTGCAGAGTGCAGATATCGAATATACCCACCGCTTTCTATCATAATAGCTGGCGTTACTAGCTTTGTCGTCCGGTGGTCGTTATGTAGTTATCATTGACTCCGAGTCCGAGTCAAAGTTCAGGAAGGTCTCCGACACCACTTCTACAAACCAACAAATGAAAACCTGACAAAACCAATGCATATACGATAATACATACAACAGCGAAACAAGCAAGAAAGCGAAAGATTAAGTAAAGGGAATGGAATATGTATGTGCGATAATCAAAAAGAGAAGGGTGTTCTTTATGGTTCTGATTTTGCCGCCTCTAACCACTTGCGCCGCAATCCATTCCGCAGGGCCAGCTGTTGCGCGTTCTTCTCCATCTCTTCCTTGTACCGGTATTTCCACATGAAATCCTCCGTATGCGAGACGTAGAAGAGACGATACGTGCGCAGGCAGACTTTGATCTCGAGGCCGTCCTGCGATGAAACATCGGGCTGCGTCTCACGAACAGCAGCAGGGAGGTTTCTACCATTACAACGAAACTTTAACGATGAACTCGATGTAAGAAAATGCATGGATTACATACCTTCGCAGATAAGGTCGTTTAACGCGTGCTTGAGATACCCCTTCAGTCGTTTCACCCTAAGACACACACAACTCATCAGTTCCACAGCCGCATCCAAGCACGTCGAACAACTAACCGAAACATAAGCATCAACATACGCCTGCCACCGGCTAGTCAGAACCTCAGAATCGTCATAGTTAGAGTCGTCTTTGCCAATCAACTGGATCGTCATCGTGCTTGGTTCGGAAAGCTAATGGTTGTTCAAGAAATGAGTTAGAACCGCAGAAGAACTACAAGGTGAGCCCCACGAACCCAATCGATGCGGAAGACATTCTCGTCAGGCCCCAGGACCTTTTCAGCTTGATGGCGATAGTTGATACGATCCTGCGTTGTGGGAGAGACGAGCGACCGCTCGCGTTTGAGGTA